TGTGGGAGAGTGAGTGGGTGAGTGAGTGAGTGAGTGGTGAGTGAGTGGTGAGGGTGAGTGAGTGGTGAGTGAGTGAGTGAGTGGTGAGTGGTGAGTGAGTGGTGACCTCCCCCGACAGGTGAAGGTGGTGAGTGGTGGGTGAGTGAGTGGTGAGTGGTGAGTGAGTGGTGAGTGAGTGAGTGGTGGGTGAGTGGTGAGTGGGTGAGTGAGTGAGTGAGTGGTGAGTGAGTGAGTGGTGAGTGAGTGGTGACCTCCCCCGACAGGTGAAGGTGGTGAGTGGTGAGTGAGTGAGTGGTGAGTGAGTGGTGAGTGAGTGGTGAGTGAGTGAGTGGTGAGTGAGTGAGTGAGTGGTGAGTGAGTGGTGGGTGAGTGAGTGGTGAGTGAGTGAGTGGTGAGTGAGTGGTGAGTGAGTGAGTGGTGGGTGAGTAGTGAGTGAGTGAGTGGTGGGTGAGTGGTGAGTGGTGGGTGAGTGAGTGGTGAGTGAGTGGTGAGTGAGTGGTGAGTGAGTGGTGAGTGAGTGGTGAGTGAGTGAGTGGTGGTGAGTGGTGGGTGAGTGAGTGGTGAGTGAGTGGTGAGTGAGTGAGTGGTGGGTGAGTGGTGAGTGAGTGGTGAGTGAGTGGTGACTTCCCCCGACAGGTGAAGGTGGTGAGTCGTGAGTGAGTGGTGAGTGGTGAGTGAGTGAGTGGTGAGTGAGTGAGTGAGTGGTGAGTGAGTGGGGGTGAGTGAGTGGTGAGTGAGTGGTGAGTGAGTGAGTGGTGGGTGAGTGGTGAGTGAGTGGTGAGTGAGTGGTGACTTCCCCCGACAGGTGAAGGTGGTGAGTCGTGAGTGAGTGAGTGGTGAGTGAGTGAGTGGTGAGTGGTGAGTGAGTGGTGAGTGAGTGGTGGGTGAGTGAGGAGTGGTGGGTGAGTGGTGAGTGAGTGAGTGGTGAGTGAGTGGTGAGTGAGTGGTGGGTGAGTGGTGAGTGAGTGGTGGGTGAGTGGTGAGTGAGTGAGTGAGTGGTGAGTGAGTGGTGACCTCCCCCGACAGGTGAGGTGGTGAGTGGTTGGTGAGTGGTGAGTGAGTGGTGAGTGAGTGAGTGGTGAGTGAGTAAGTGGTGAGTGAGTGGTGACCTCCCCCAACAGGTGAAGGTGGTGAGTGGTGGGTGAGTGAGTGGTGAGTGAGTGGTGAGTGAGTGAGTGGTGAGTGAGTGGTGAGTGAGTGGTGACCTCCCCAACAGTTGAAGGTGGTGAGTGGTGAGTCAGTGAGTGGTGAGTGAGTGAGTGGTGAGTGAGTGGTGAGTGAGTGGTGACCTCCCCGACAGGTGAAGGTGGTGAGTGGTGAGTGGTGAGTGAGTGAGAGTGGTGAGTGAGTGGTGAGTGAGTGGTGAGTGAGTGGTGAGTGAGTGAGTGAGTGGTGAGTGAGTGAGTGGTGAGGGTGAGTGAGTGGTGTGAGTGGTTTCTGTGGGTCTGGGTGTCTGTGGGTCTCTGTGGATCTGGGTGTCTGTGGGTCTCTATGGGTCTGGGTGTCTGTGGGTCTCTGTGGGTCTGGGTGTCTGTGGGTCTCTGTGGGTCTGGGTGTCTGTGTGGGTCGGGTGTCTGTGTGGGTCTGGGTGTCTGTGGGTTTCTGTGGGTCTGGGTGTCTTGTGGGTTTCTGTGGGTCTGGGTTTTTGTGGGTCTCTGTGGGTCTGTGGGTTTCTGTGGCTATCTGGGTGTCTGTGGATCTCTGGATCTGGGTGTCTCTATGGGTCTCTATGGGTCTGGGTCTCTATGGGCTCTATGGGTCTGGGTGTCTCTGTGGGTCTCTATGGGTCTGGGTTTCTCTATGGGTCTCTATGGGTCTGGGTGTCTCTATGGGTCTCTATGGGTCTGGGTGTCTCTATGGGTCTCTATGGGTCTGGGTGTCTCTATGGGTCTCTATGGGTCTGGTTGTCTGTATGGGTCTCTGGGTCTGGGTGTCTCTGTGGGTCTCTATGGGTCTGTGGGTCTGGGTGTCTCTGTGGGTCTCTATGGGTCTGGGTGTCTCTATGGGTCTCTGTGGGTCTCTATGGGTCTGGGTGTCTCTGTGGGTCTCTGTGGGTGTCTCTGTAGGTCTCTATGGGTCTGTGGGTCTCTGTGGGTCTGGGTGTCTGTGGGTGTCTCTATGGGTCTCTATGGGTCTCTGGGTCTGTGGGTCTCTGTGGGTCTGGGTGTCTGTGGGTGTCTCTATGGGTCTCTATGTGTCTCTATGGGTCTGGGTGTCTCTATGGGTCTCTATGGGTCTGGGTGTCTCTGTGGGTCTCTATGGGTCTGTGGGACTCTGTGGGTCTCTATGGGATGGGTGTCTCTGTGGGTCTCTCTGGGTCTGGGTGTCTCTGTGGGTCTCTATGGGTCTCTATGGGTCTGGGTGTCTCTGTGGGTCTCTATGGGTCTCTATGGGTCTGGGTGTCTCTGTGGGTCTCTATGGGTCTCTATGGGTCTCTATGGGTCTGGGTGTCTCTGTGGGTGTCTCTATGGGTCTGGGTGTCTCTATGGGTCTCTATGGGTCTGGGTGTCTTTGTGGGTCTCTGTGGGTGTCTCTGTGGGTCTCTATGGGTCTGGGTGTCTCTGTGGGTCTCTGTGGGTGTCTCTGTGGGTCTCTATGGGTCTGGGTGTCTCTGTGGGTCTCTATGGGTCTGAGTGTTTCTGTGGGTCTCTATGGGTCTGGGTGTCTCTGTGGGTCTCTATGGGTCTCTATGGGTCTCTATGGGTCTCTATGGGTCTGGGTGTCTCTGTGGGTCTCTGGGTCTGGGTGTCTCTGGGTGTCTCTATGGGTGTCTCTGGGTGTCTCTGGGTGTCTCTGGGTCCGTACGTAACCAACCGTGATGGCCGGATGTGACCTCTGTGTGGGTCATCGGTGAGTGACCTCTGCCCCCCCCCCCTTCCCCGTAGCAGGAGGGTGCCGTGCTGAGGATCTGCCCATGCACCGCTCCCACAACTGCTCCCTCCTCATCAGCACCATCATCAGCGCCACCATCATCAGCAGCAGCACCACCACCATCATCAGCAGCAGCAGCACACCTCATCATCAGCATCATCAGCACCACCATCATCATCAGCATCATCAGCACCACCATCAGCATCAGCAGCAGCAGCACCACCACATCATCATCAGCACCACCACCATCAGCACCAGCATCATCAGCACCACCAGCATCAGCAGCACCACCATCATCAGCAACACTACCAGCACCATCATCAGCAGCACCACCACCATCAGCACCACCACCACCACCATCATCAGCACCACCACCACCATCAGCACTACCACCACCATCATCATCAGCGTCGCTGTCATCAGCAGTGGCGATGGCGTCGTCGTCGGTGACGTCATCGGCGTCGCCCCAGCTGCCGTCTCCCATGGCAACGGCGTCGGCGGTCGCCGTGACGACCGCATCGCCTGCCGCTGGTGGTGGCAGCGGCCAACGTGAGTGGTGGTGACGGTGGTGGTGGTGGTGACGGGTGGTGTTGTGACGGTGGTGACGTGTGGGTGGTGGTGGTGACGGTGGTGGTGGTGACGGTGGTGGTGGTGACCGGTGGTGGTGGTGGTGACGGTGGTGGTGGTGACGGTGGTGGTGGTGACGGTGGTGGTGGTGACGGTGGTGGTGACGGTGGTGGTGTGACGGTGTGACGATGGTGATGGTTGGTGGTGATGATGGTGATGATGGTGATGATGGTGGTGGTGGTGTGTGATGATGGTGACGATGGTGATGGTGGTGTGGTGGTGTGATGATGGTGATGATGGTGATGATGGTGATGATGGTGATGGTGGTGGTGATGATGGTTGACGATGGTGATGGTGGGGTGGGGTGGTGTGATGGTGATGATGGTGATGCGGTGAGTCGATGTTGATGATGGTGATGAAGGCTGTGGTCAGGACGATGATCACTACGATGCCATAACCCATGACCCCCCCCTTCCTCCCCCACTACCGCCCCCCCGTCTCCCACGACCTCCGACCCCACCTCCCCCACCCGCACTTCCTGCAGCGGCGGCCGTGGCGTCCCGAGCGCTCCTCCTTCCTCCACGCTGCTGCTACAGCTGCTGGCTCCTGCTGCTGCTGCTCCTGCTGCTGCTGCTGCTGCTGCTCCTGCTGCTGCTGCTCCTGCTGCTGCTGCTCCTGCTGCTGCTACAGCTGCTGCTGCTACAGCTGCTGCTGCTCCTGCTGCTGCTCTGCTGCTGCTGCTCCTGCTGCTGCTCCTGCTGCTGCTGCTCCTGCTGCTGCTCTGCTGCTGCTGCTACAGCTGCTGCTGCTCCTGCTGCTGCTGCTCCTGCTGCTGCTGCTCTGCTGCTGCTGCTCCTGCTGCTGCTGCTCCTGCTGCTGCTGCCTGCTGCTGCTACAGCTGCTGCTGCTACAGCTGCTGCTGCTCCTGCTGCTGCTACAGCTGCTGCTGCTACAGCTGCTGCTGCTCCTGCTGCTGCTACAGCTGCTGCTGCTACAGCTGCTGCTGCTGCTGCTGCCGCTGATGCTGCTGCTGCTGCTGTGATGCTGCTCCTGCTGCTGCTGCTCCTGCTGCTGCTGCCGCTGATGCTGCTGCTCCTGCTGCTGATGCTGCTCCTGCTGCTGCTGCCGCTGATGCTGCTGCTGCTGCTGCTGCTGTCTGCTGCTGCTGCTCCTGCTGCTGCTCCTGCTGCTGCTCCTGCTGCTGCTGCTGCTCCTGCTGCTCCTGCTGCTGCTGCTGCTGCTCCTGCTGCTGCCCTGCTGCTGCTCCTGCTGCTGCTGCTGCTCCTGCTGCTCCTGCTGCTGCTGCTCCTGCTGCTGCTGCTGGCTGCTGCTTGCTGCTGCTGCTGCTCCTGCTGCTGCTGCTGCTGCTGCTGCTCTGCTGCTGCTGCTGCTCCTGCTGCTGCTGCTGCTGCTGCTCCTGCTGCTCCTGCTGCTGCTGCTCCTGCTGCTGCTGCTGCTGACGCTGCCAGCTGACGGCTCCGCTGCTACCGGCACCACCACGACCGCTGACGGTGACAACCCGTTGACAACGCCGGTGACAACGCCGGTGACAACGCCGGTGACAACGCCGGTGACAAGGCCGGTGACAACGCCGGTGACAACGCCTCCTCGGCTGTCCGGGGATGAGGAAGTGAAGACGGAGGATGACCCTGCAAGACAGGCACAGATGGTGCGGGGAGACACGGAGAAGCGGGGAGACACGGAGACACGGGGAGATACGGGGAGATGTGGGGAGACACTGGGAGACACGGGGAGACGCGGGGAGACACAGAGACACGGGGAGAGAGGGGAGAGATGGGAGACACGGAGAGACACTGGGAGACACTTGGAGACACGGGGAGACGCGGGGAGACACGGGGAAAGATGGGGGACACGGAGAGACACGGGGGGACACGGGGAGACACGGGGGAGACGTGAAGATGGAGGATGACCCCTGCAAGACAGGCACAGATGGTGCGGAGAGACGCGGGAGACGCGGGGAGACACGGGGAGAGACGGGGAGAGACGGGGAGAGATGGGGGGACACGGAGAGACCGGGGGACACGGGGAGACGTGGGGAGACACGGAGACACGGGGAGACGCGGGGAGACGCCGGGAAGAGACGCGGGGAGAGACGGGGAGAGATGGGGGGACACGGAGAGACACGGGGGGGACAACGGGGAGACACCGGGGAGGACGTGAAGAGGGGATGACCCTGCAGGACAGGCACAGATGGTGCTGGGAGACACGGGACACGGGGAGATGTGGAGAGACACTGGGAGACACTGGGAGACACGGGGAGACACGGGGGAGACATGGGGAGACACGGGGACCGGGGAGACACGGGGATATCGGGGAGACGCGGAGAGACACGGGAGACACGGGGGAGACACGGGGGAGACATGGGGGGAGAAACCGGGGGAGACACGGGGGAGACACGGGGGGAGAGACACGGGGGAGACACGGGGGAGACCACGGGGGAGTACATAGGTGGTGCTACTCAATGTTACTAACAGCACTTGACCCTACAGTCTATTAAGGGTGTCTGCGTGTGTGTGTGTGCGGTTTGTGTGCGTGTGTCTGCGTGTGTCTGCGTGTGTGCGCGCGTGTGTGCGTGTGTCTGTGCGTGTGTGTGTGTGCAGGGTATGTGTGGTGTGTGTGTGGTGTGTGCGTGTCTGTGTGTGCATGTGTGTGTGTGGTGTGAGTCTGTGTGTGTGTGTGTGCGTGCGGTGCGTGTGTGTGTGTGTCACTGTGTGTGTGTGTCACTGTGTGTGTATGTCACTGTGTGTGTGTGTCACTGTGTGTGTGTGTCACTGTGTGTGTGTGTCACTGTGTGTGTCACTGTGTGTGTCACTGTGTGTGTCACTGTGTGTGTCACTGTGTGTGTCACTGTGTGTGTCACTGTGTGTGTGTGTGTCACTGTGTGTGTCACTGTGTGTGGTGTCACTGTGTGTGTGTGTGTCACTGTGTTGTGTGTGTGTGTCACTGTGTGTCTGTGTGTCACTGTGTGTCACTGTGTGTGTCACTGTGTGTGTCACTGTGTGTGTGTAGGAGGCGGGCGTGATGGAGCGAGTGTGGAGCCTGCGCAAGGCCGGGTTGTGGGCACCGCAGCGTCTGCCCCGCGTGGCCGACCCTCCACGTCCACGCGCACACTGGGACTGCCTGCTGCAGGTGAGTGTGTGTGTGTCACTGTGTGTACGTGTGTGTGTGTACGTGTCACTGTGTGTGCGTGTGGCCGACCCTCCAGTCCACGCGCACACTGGGACTGCCTGCTGCAGGTGAGTGTGTGTGTGTGTCACTGTGTGTACGTGTGTGTGTGTACGTGTGTGTGTGTACGTGTCACTGTGTGTGTGCGTGTGGCCGACCCTCCACGTCCACGCGCAACTGGGACTGCCTGCTGCAGGTGAGTGTGTGTGTGTGTCACGTGTGTACGTGTGTGTGTGTACGTGTGTGGTGTGTACGTGTCACTGTGTGTGTGCGTGTGGCCGACCCTCCAGTCCACGCGCACACTGGGACTGCCTGCTGCAGGTGAGTGTGTGTGTGTCACTGTGTGTACGTGTGTGTGTACGTGTGTGTGTACGTGTCACTGTGTGTGTACGTGTCACTGTGTGTGTACGTGTGTGTGTGTGTACGTGTCACTGGGTTGTGTGCGTGTGGCCGACCCTCCACGTCCACGCGCACACTGGGACTGCCTGCTGCAGGTGAGTGTGTGTGTGTCATGTGTGTACGTGTGTGGGTGTACGTGTGTGTGTGTGTGTACGTGTCACTGTGTGTGTGCGTGTGGCCGAGCCTCCACGTCCAGCGCACACTGGGACTGCCTGCTGCAGGTGAGTGTGTGTGTGGTGTGTGTCACTGTGTGTACGTGTGTGTGTGGTACGTGTCACTGTGTGTGTACGTGTGTGTGTGTGTGTACGTGTCACTGTGTGTGTGCGCGTGGCCGACCCTCCACGTCCACGCGACACTGGGACTGCCTGCTGCAGGTGAGTGTGTGTGTGTGTCACTGTGTGTACGTGTGTGTGTGTACGTGTGTGTGTGTACGTGTGTGTCACTGTGTGTGTGTCACTGTGTGTGTGTGTCACTGTGTGTGTGTGTGTGTGTATGTGTGTGTCGTGTGTGTCACTGTGTGTGTGTGTCACTGTGTGTACGTGTGTGTACGTCTGTCACTGTGTGTGTGTCACTGTGTGTGTGTCACTGTGTGTACGTGTGTGTGTGTGTCAGTGTGTGTGTACGTGTGTGTGTCACTGTGTGTACGTGTGTGTGTCTGTGTGTGTGTCACTGTGTGTACGTGTGTGTGTGTGTGTCTGTGTGTCTGTGTGTGTCACTGTGTGTGTGTCTGTGTGTGTGTACGTGTGTCTGTGTGTGGGTGTGTCTGTGTGTGTGTCTCTGTGTGCCTCAGGTGCACTTGACCTGGCACAAGCGTTGTGGTGACGTCACCGCCACTTAATGGCGAATGGCGGTTGTTGTGTGTCTGTGTGTGTGTGTCACTGTGTGTGTGTGTCACTGTGTGTCTGTGTGTACGTGTGTGTGTGTACGTGTGTGAGTGTGTGTACGTGTGTCACTGTGTGTGTGTGTGTGTCTGTGGGTGTGTGTGTGTGGGTGTGTGTGTGTGTGTCTGTGTGTGTGGGGGTGTGTGTGTGTGTCTGTGGGTGTGTGTGTTTGTGTGTGTGTGTCTGTGGGTGTTTGTGTGTGTGTGTCTGTGTGTGTATCTGTGTGTCTGTGTGTGTATCTGTGTGTCACTGTGTGTGTATCTGTGTGTGTGTCTGTGTGTCACTGTGTGTCACTGTGTGTGTCACTGTGTGTGTGTGTGTCACTGTGTGTGTCACTGTGTGTGTCACTGTGTGTGTCACTGTGTGTCTGTGTGTGTGTGTCACTGTGTGTGTCACTGTGTGTGTGTCACTGTGTGTGTGTCACTGTGTGTGTCACTGTGTGTGTCACTGTGTGTGTGTGTCACTGTGTGTGTGTCACTGTGTGTGTCACTGTGTGTGTGTCACTGTGTGTGTCTGTGTGTCTGTGTGTAGGAGATGGAGTGGATGGCTGAGGACTTTGCCCAGGAGCGACGATGGAAGATCGCTGCGGCCAAGACGGTGCGGCCACAAACACAACAACAAACACAACCACAACAACAACAACCACAACAACAACCACAACAACAAACACAACACACAACCACCACACACGTCCCCGTGTCTCTCCCCACGCAGCTGTGCGTGTCGGTGTCTCCCCCGTGTCTCTCTCACCTCCCCGTGTCTCTCCCCACGCAGCTGTGCGTGTCGGTGTCTCCCCCGTGTCTCCCCGTGTCTCCCCGTGTCTCCCTCACCTCCCCGTGTCTCCCCGCGTCTCTCTCACCTCCGCGTGTCTCCCCGCATCTCCCCGTGTCTCCCCCCACGCAGCTGTGCGTGTCGGTGTCTCGCCACGTGCAGCGCGAGGCGGCCAGGAGGCTGCGCGAGGAGTCGCGGCGCGGTGCGGCGCTGCGGAGACTCGCTCGACACGCAGCCAGCGCCGTGACGCAGTTCTGGGGAAACATGTGGCGGGTAACACACACAGTGACACACACAGTGACACACACAGTGACACACACACACAGTGATGCACACACAGTGACACACAGTGACACACACACACAGTGACACACACAGTGACACACACACAGTGACACACACACACAGTGATGCACACACAGTGACACACAGTGACACACACACACAGTGACACACACAGTGACACACACAGTGACACACAGTGACACACACAGTGACACACAGACACACACACACAGTGACACACACAGACACACACACACACAGACACACACACACACACAGAGACACACACACAGACAGTAAGACACACACAGTGACAACAACAACAACAACCGCCATTCGCCACTAAGTGGCGGTGACGTCACCACGATGCTTGTGCCAGGCCAAGTGCACCTTGAGGCCACGTGAAGTGTCGAAAGCCCGCTGGCAGGAGGTCACGGGGCAGACCCAGGTGCCACTGGTCGACTGACCGAGATGACCGAGATGACTGGCTGATGCACCACCTGTGCCCCCTACTGTGCCAACTTGCTGTGCTTTAGCCACCCGGCGCTCCGCTCGTTGTTGTGAGCGTCGCTCCTCCGCCCTCCGTTGTTGTTGGAGGGCGACTGCCTCCAACTGCCCAGTAGCGTCCTTCACGAGCCTCCTCCACTGAGGCCGATCTTGACACCGCTGGTACCAGTCATCGGCAAGTCCACTCAGCTCCACGTCCTCCTGTACCACATCACTCCATCTCTTCTCCAGCCCGTGCCGCGCCCGTCTAGCCCCCTCGATCCGGCCGAACAAAAGCTGTTTAGGCATGCGGTGGCTGGGCATGCGGGCTACATGACCCAGCCAACGCAGCCTTGCCTGCCGGAGGAGCTCACTGATGGGACTTTGCCCAGATCTTTCAAGGATTTGTGAGCTCCTCACACAATCCAGCCTGGTTAAACCCAGGATGGATCGTAGGCAGGCCAGCCTAAATGTTTCCAACCGGCGAAGATGCTCCACCAGGGGGGTCCACGTCTCGCAAGCGTAGAGAAGGGAGGGAATGACCGTGGCCGAGAAGACCTGAAGCTTCGTGCGGAGCGACAGACCAGGTAGCTTCCACACAGCGTTACGCAACCGATGAAAAGATATTGCCGCTCGACTGATTCGGAGTGAGACCTCTGCTGATAGACTGGAGCCGGTCATAAGCATACTGCCCAGGTATGGGAAACTCTCCTACTCTCTCCACAACTGCCCCATCACCAATTGGGAGTTGTGGGGGTGGAGTGTCCGATGGTACAAAATACCCAGGCAGGTGCTTGGTTTTGGTGGGGCTGATGGTAAGGCCCCACCTCTTAGTGGCACGCTCCAGTCTCAGCAGCAGCGCCTCCAACTCCTCTTCTGAATGAGCAGCTATTACCAAATCATCGGCATACATAACGTGGTTGACCAATAGGGAGCCATCCCTTGATCGCACCCGGGCGTCGATCAGCCTCCCATTATATCTGTGTAGTGGTGTTAACTACTCACAGACACACACAGACACACACACACAGACACACACACAGACACACATACACACAGACACACACAGACACACACACAGACACACACACAGACACACACAGACACACACACAGATACACACACAAACACACACACACAGACACACACAGACACACACATACACCCACATACACACAGACACACACACAGATACACACACAAACCACACACACAGACACACACATACACCCACATACACACAGACACACACACAGACACACACACACAGATACACACACACACAGACAGACACACACACAGACACACATACACACAGACACACACACACAGACACACACACAGACACACACACAGACACACACAGACACACACACAGATACACACACAAACACACACACACAGACACACACAGACACACACATACACCCACATACACACAGACACACACACAGACACACACACACACAGATACACACACACACAGACAGACACACACACAGACACACATACACACACACACAGACACACACACAGACACACACAGATACACACACACAGACACACACACACAGACACACACAGACACACACACACAGACACACACACAGACCCACACACCACACAGACACACACACAGACACACACACACAGACACACACACACAGACACACACACACAGGACACACACACACACAGACACACACACACAGACACACACACAGACACACACACACAGACACCACACAGACACACACACAGACACACACACACACAGTGTACACACAGACACACACATACACACAGACACACACACAGACACACACACACAGACACACACAGACACACACACAGACACCACACACAACAGACACACACACACAGACACACAGATTATCTGAGTTAAGCTGATTGATGACCATCTAAACTTGAAGCTTTCGTGACTGCAAGGAATCATATTCTTAGGTGTTTTCGGTAAAGTCACGTAGGCAAAACATCAAAATTAATAAAATAATAAAATAAAATAAAGATCTTTATTTTATTATTTTTATAAATTATAATATAAAATAAAGATTTTTTTAAATAAAATAATAAAATAAAATAAAGATCTTTATTTTATTTTATTATTTTTCATTAATTTGATGTTTTGCCTACGTGACTTACCGAAAACACCTAAGAATAGATGACCATCTGTATTATGTTGTGATGTCACGGGAGGGGGAGTTTTAATAGGCTACATACACTACACACACACCACACACACGCTACATACACTACACACACACCACACACATACACACGCTACATACACTACACACCACCACACACACACACACGCTACAACACACTACACACACACCACACGCACGCTACGTACACTACACACACTGCACACACAACTACACGTGCTACTCTCCCAACGTGCAGGTACGCTGACGTTGAGGGAAAACAAGTGAGCCGATGAGAGCGACGTCGACGTTGCCGGTGGTGGCGGCTGTGGCCGCAGCCCGACCCGGATCCCGTGCGCGGTCGCTCACCCGACTCGGTCACTCACCCACCTCGGTCGCTCACCCGCGGTGCCCCGACTCGGTCGCTCACCCACCTCGTCGCTCACCCAGCCCTGAAGGTTGGAGTTGCACAAAGGGAAAACCGCTCGTCCGCATCTTCACCCGACTCGGTCGCTCACCCGACTCGGTCGCTCACCCGACTCGGTCGCTCAGCCCGACTCGGTGGCTCACCCGACCTCGGTGGCTCACCCGACTCGTGGCCTACCCGACTCGGGTTCGTCTCACAGCCGAACTTCTGTGGCTCACCCGACTCGTCGCGTCACCCGACTCGGTGGCTCACCCGACTCGGTGGCTCACCCGACTCGGTGGCGTCACCCTACCTCGGTCCGCGTCCCGGGGGTGGCCCGACTCGGTGGCTCACCCCGACCGGTTCGCATCAACGCCGACTCGGTGGCTCACCCGACTCGGTGGCTCACCCGCGGTGCCGCTGCCGGCGACAGACGCACTCTGCCGCCGCCGCCACCCTCGGCGATCTCGCCAGGGAGGAACGTCCACCCTCCTCCTCCGGCCGCGTACTTCACATCTGTCACGTGACCCCACGCGTGTGGAAGCGTCACGCATCGTGGCGCAGCGATTAGCGCTACGCCGCGCTACGAACCCAGCGACCCGAGTTCGATTCCCGCTCACGGCCACCGCCGGTGACGATTATTTGAAACCGGTCCTGGGCCTCCGCTAGGTCGACTCAGCCTCAAACGAGTAACTGGTGCAGTGTGTGAACGTCGCCACTGGGGAGACAAAGGCGGCCGGGCATGGTGGATCCAAGTCTCGGGCGAAGCCGGGTAGTACAGCTAGTAGCTTGACAAAGTCAACGATTCTCCACTTGTTCAACATCGTTGTCAACGCGTGGCCTGGAGTCTTCTCCACGTGGTCTCCAGGTGCTCACAGGCACATTTCTCGTGGTGTTGATGGTGTTGGTGTTGTTGCAAATTCTCAGAAGTGTTATGTTTTTGCTGCCCGACCTGCAAGACGGCGGCGGAGGGCGGTGGCAGGGGACGCGTGGATGTCTCGTGTTGCTGGTTCAGCGGTAATGTTACGCGTGCAACGCATTTACTAATGCAGATGCGTGCTTATTGTGCGCCACCGACGGGACACATTGTACATGATTGCACGTAAAGAATATTCAGAATGTTGGAAATAATGTCTTCTACTTATAATTGTTTATGTATATCATGTACACTACTTCGCTGCATCGTGTCGCATATCCTGCATTGCGCAGTTTATATTGGTAACTGCACACAAATGCACATTTTGCATTAACCATGCAAGGGGTGGTAACTATTGCAAATAATGCATAATTACGTTAAAAAATGTTCATGTTTACAAATTATGCAATAAAGTACAAAATGACAGTTTGCAAATATTTGATTGATATTGATTGTGACTTTCACATTCTTGTACAGACACTCATTGTATATGGTCTCATCAATATCAGAATTTACACTGATTGCATTGTCCAATGCATTACACGCTGATCAGATGGTGCACAACTCCGCCTTACAATAATCACGACTGAGGATCATTCGTTTGCGACACTTCGCTATGAACCTGGCGGCCCGAGTTCGAATCCAGGCCACAGCTAACATCATTGTGGCGACAGTATTCAACTCTGCAAAGCAAATTATCAGTACAAAACGGACTTTCATGACCACAGGCATTATCAAGGTATCACAGGTCATTAAAATGCTCTATCAAAGCAAAATAGTGTCCTGTGCAAAACTGAGGTCCATCGCAACATTGACCCGCTGATGTTCATGAACAGTGCCGCTACGTGAAGTAATTGTAATGCGAGCGTACGCTGGTGTCCCCGCCCCAGCCCCTACGCCAACCAGGCGACACGAAGAAATACAGAGACGGAGACACAGTTTTGTTGACTGTTTTCTGGGGCAATGCCACTGACAGATCTTCGCTAATGGAAGAAACACAAAAGAAATGTCAATCTCCCTCGGCCTGGGGCTCCATGCAAGATCTCACCTCGTGGAGTTGCAATGATCATGAGAACGGTAAAGAATCAGCCCAGAACTACACGGGAGGATCTTGTCAATGATCTCAAGGCAGCTGGGACCATAGTCACCAAGAAAACAGTTGGCGACACACTACGCCGTGAAGGACTGAAATCCTGCAGCGCCCGCAAGGTCCCCCTGCTCAAGAAAGCACATATACATGCCCGATTGAAGTTTGCCAATGAACATCTGAATGATTCAGAGGACAACTGGGTGAAAGTGTTGTGGTCAGATGAGACCAAAATGGAGCTCTTTGGCATCAACTCAACTCGCTGTGTTTGGAGGAATGTTGCCTATGACCCCAAGAACACCATCCCCACCGTCAAACATGGAGGTGGAAACATTATGCTTTGGGGGTGTTTTTCTGCTAAGGGGACAGGACAACTTCACCGCATCAAAGGGACGATGGACGGGGCCATGTACCGTCAAATCTTGGGTGAGAACCTCCTTCCCTCAGCCAGGGCATTGAAAATGGGTCGTGGATGGGTATTCCAGAATGACAATGACCCAAAACACACGGCCAAGGCAACAAAGGGAATAATGGATACACCACAGCAAGTTACGACTTTGCTTGGTTAATAACGTCCTTTTGGCATCATCTGGTCCAACACCATGTGAGACTAGGCGTACACACTATGTGTGTGTACACTGTGTATGCACACAGTGTGTGTGCATTGTGTACGTACAGTGTGTGTTACATGTACGCACACAATCAGACAAGTATTCATTCAAAATTATTGACAGGCATATGCACAAAATGGAATTACTGCAGTGAAATATACTGCATCAGATAACATCTTATTCTCTGGTTCTTTCAGTAGTCACGTAGAACGAAATTTAATAGAATACGACGTTTCGATTGGAACACAAGCAACCATCGTCAGGTACAACAAGTGAATGAGAACACAAACATAGTGAACTTAGCAATATAATGCAACACAACACAAGAGTCAGCCAACACAACAGTCAACACCCTACCTGGTTGATTACGTTCTTCCAAAATTGAACAATTTAGTTTAGATAACATCTTATTAACAAGGAGCTATTTAAGAATGCACCCTCTACTGAACAGTGGATGTGAAACACACAATTGTGCAATTCAAAACGAGTAGGCCTTTGCAAGTTGGCGTCTGGGTCAAAAATGTAGCAAATTCTAAACATTACCTACTAACGACACAGCTGAGATAACAGATCAATCATCGCCCCCTACTGACAGGCTCTTGAAAATATTCAGGCCGGTGCAGGGCCACCACCTTGTGCCACACAGGGGCAGCTGCCACTTGGGTGCTCTTCTAGTGTTTGAGACGAGGTACGATACAAAACTCCGGGTTGCTGAGCGGATTAAGTCAGCACCATGTAAAAGCAATTATAACATCGTGAATGCTTGGGAGCTTATTGGCTCTCAGAGATCTACCCAACACACAGGTCCACAAAAACTGGCCGCCCTTACCCTGCAGGTTGAACCCAGGAAATGGGTGTTCAACTTCACATTATGTCATTAAAGGCCTGTGACAAGGGTGCATCTATTGGAGCGACATCGCCTCAAGCTTACACATCTACCGGGTCCCCATTTGACTTTGTATTGTCTCGGAAGTCCACCCACACCTCCACTTCCACAAACTGCTGGGAGTTCCCTCGCTCTGCCTCACAGTCAGAATTCTCCTCCTGCTTCACGTTGCCTCCATCGATGCAAAGGTCCCATTTTGGAGTTGAACCTTCATCTTCACATTTTACTTTCACTTCTTCGCTCTTCACCATCACTTCTTCACATTTCACCTTCACCTCTTCATATTTCACCTCGTTACCTTTAAAAGTGTCCAAGCTGGGATTTTCTTCTGGTTCTTGTTTGATTAGGGATGGGCTCATTGCAGCACTTTCACTTTCACAAGATGATTTCAGACTCCACTCCTGGTGGATCTTCTGATGCTTGTGTGTTCTCTGGTGTTTTTGAAAATTTGATGACTGTGCAAACGCCTTCCCGCACGGAGTGCACTTGAAGGGTTTCTCTCCCGTGTGTGTTCTCTGGTGTTCTACAAGAGTAGATGAATGTGCAAACGCCTTCCCACAGACACTGCACTTGAAGGGTTTCTCTCCCGTGTGTGTTCTCTTGTGTGCTACAAGAGTAGATGAATCTGAAAACGTCTTCCCACACACACTGCACTTGAAGGGTTTCTCTCCCGTGTGTGTTCTCTGGTGTGTTACAAGAGTAGATGAAAGTGCAAACGCCTTCCCACACACACTGCACTTGAAGGGTTTCTCTCCCGTGTGTGTTCTCTGGTGTGTTACAAGAGCAGATGACTGTGCAAATGCCTTCCCACACACAGTGCACTTGAAGGGTTTCTCTCCTGTGTGTGTTCTCTGGTGGATCTGAAGAACTGATGGCCATGCAAAGGCCTTCCCACACACAGTGCACTTGAAGGATTTCTCTCCTGCGTGAGTTCTCTGGTGCTGTGTCAAATTTCCAGTCCGCTCCGTGCTGTATCCACGCCGGTCGCATTGTTGACTTGTCGTACCGAGCTGTGCTGAGCGCCTTTGCTCCATCAGACCAAGCGTCAGCTGCAGACAGAAAAAAATTATATCCACACCACCTACACGTCAGACACAGAGTAATGCATATACACAGTCACACGTGACTTACACGTCTATACTTATTCATATATTCATGATGTCGTGAAAAAGTTTCCCAAATTCATCACACAGGCTGTTATTGCACACAATGAGAGGGCAAATAGTCATAAATATGCCTGGAAGCCCTCGTATCTCCGTGGTGAGATGCTGACTACCTCACCTGGTATACAGGAAGTCGTGGGTTCAATCCCGACCCTGGCGCCTGCTGCTGTATATTTGGAGTTTGCGTGTCTCTCTCTCCGTGGTGAGATGTTAACTACCCTCGCCTGGTATACAGGAAGTCGTGGGTTCGATCCCGACCCTGACGCCTG